CCCGATGGAGCTCGAAGGGAGAGTGTGCCAGGCATCACCTTCTTCAGGGCTCCAAGACAGCCTCCCTGGAGCAGTCCAAGACGGCTCTCAGGCGGAGAAGGAGCGTCCAGGGGGGGCCCTGGCCCGCCTGCAGATGGGCCCCAGGGGGCCTCAATGCGGCCCGTGAGGGCCCTGGGTCACCCCCCAGGTCCAGAAGCATTTGGAGGCCAGTAGTGCGAGCTTTGCGCAGCAAGCAGGAAGGAGGCAGCAGTAGTAATCAACAGCAGCACTCAACATGAAAACAAGCAGATCGAGCAGCAAGCAGCCTGCAGCAGCAACCAGCATCGACAAGCAGCAGCAGCAGCAGCAGCAGCAGCAGCAGCAGCAGCAGCAGGCAGCAGCAACCAACCGCAGTAAACAGTACCACTAAGCAGACCAATCATGAACTGGCTGCTTCAGCAAACAGCAGCGGGAAGTTGCAAAAGCAAGCTGCAGCAGCGTTCGTGAACGGCATCAACTTTCAGCAGCGGCAAATAACAGCAGTGGGCCGCAGCAAGCAACAGCACGCACCAGCGAGTAGCCGCCATCGCAAGTAAGCGACAGCGATCGGACGAGCAAGCACCTCCCTACGCATACAACAGCCGTGCCAGCATGCAAGCATGAGGTGCCACAGGCTAGCAAACACGCAAGCATGAAAGGACGGAAGCAGGCGCGAAATTCTCACCCGTGTATTCGAGCACGCTTGTCGTGGAGATATGTCCACAGGTCCGCATTAGTCAGCTGCAGCGCTGTGGTCAGTGCGTGTGAGAAGGGCGGACTTTGGCAGCAGGCTCTGTTGCTGCTGAGGGAGATGTGGGAGGCGAAACTAAAGTCGGACGCCATCATTTACAGCGCTGTGATCAGCGCCTGCGAAAAGGGCGAGCAGTGGCAGCGTGGTTTGGGGTTGCTCAGAGAGATGTGGGAGGCGAAACTGGAGCCTGACGTCATCTTTCCTACCATGCTGGTGCCACCGCGTGCCAGAAGGGCGCAATTATCAACTGGGAAAAGAATGGTCCAGCGAGCCGCGGTGCGCTGTGGGGCAGATCAACGACGCTCCCGGACGGCCCGGCGTAGTCCTCGAATGGCCATGTTCGGATAGGGCGGTGGGGCGGGGATTGGAACAGTGTGGTTACGAAACCTGCTGCGTGCAGTTGGTTTCGGCAGTGATTGCCCCCACGTGTTGATATTCTGTGAAATTCTTCAAACAGGTGCTTGCACTTAGCTTGGCATCGCTCGGACGTGTGCATTTTTCCTTCGGCGAGGACCATCGAGGAGTATCCTTGATCATTGAGCGAAAAAACCGAGCGATGGCGAGTTAGGGGTTCTTGCTCGCGTTCGCCATCTCGGGGTCGTTGTCGCCCGTGCCGCCCGTCGCCACCCGTCGCCGTCGCCGCCCGTCGGGATGGTTGCCGCCCGTGCCGCCCGTCGCCGTCGCCGCCCGTCGCCGTGAATCCCGCCCGTCGCCGCCCGTGCCGCCCGTCGCCGTCGCCATACGCCCGTCGCCGCCCGTCGCCGCCATGTGTTTTGTTTGGGTGCCTTGCGTTGCTTTGCTTTGCTTTGCTTTGTTTCGCTTTATTTCGCCATGCTTTGCTCTGCTGTGCGCTGTTTTACTTTACAAGGATCTCCGTTCCTTTTTGTCCCTACTCTAATTTACCGTGATTTACGTTCCTTGCCTTCACTTTAAGTTGCTTCGCTTGGCTCCTACGCGCGTGGCCTTTCTTGACTTTATTCGTTACTTCACATTGCGTGTCGTTTTCTTATGTTTCACCTTACTTCCTTTATTTTCACTTGCGATACGGTCCTTGGCAGCACCATGTCACAACAAACCTGACACAGACGTTTGAGATACATGTATACATACATGCAACGGAACAGACACGCACACGTACACATGCATATACAAACATACATGCATTTATACACACATGCATACTTGCACACATGAAACATGCATACATACATAATGCACACACACACATACGTACATGCATACATGCATGTACACAGGTATGCAGGCATACGTACAGACATGCCATCACTTATACATACGCAATACACATCGCATAGGGTGCAGAGCTAGGACCACAAATACGAGTACGACAACTCAATATCCTTCAGATTCGAGTCCTCTTCCTCATCGTCCTCTTCCTCCACATCCGTTTTCTTTTCCTGTGTCTTCTCCTCCTCCACCAACCCGCTTACACCACATAGCTCACACCACATCGATGAGTACGTTAGTTGCTTTGCCTGCTGTCTGTGCGAATGCATGTTTTACTCGCGCCGCGCGCGCATCATTTTCCATAGTCGTGTTGGCTCGAAGCACGTTCAGCAGCTAGATATTGCATGGAACGTTTCGGAGACGAACCCGTACACGTTTGGCGCCCATTGCAATAGAGCGTGCAGATATGTATCATGTTGCGCAGCAGCGCGAAACTTCTCACCACATTGCTACAGAGCACGTGGCGTTGGCCTCGGCGCGCGCTGCTAAATAGCAAGCGCAAACCGGTATCGGTTCCGCAGCATCACGAAGCTACAGACAACGCTGGCTACTGAGCACGCAGCCTTGGGCCGAACCGTCGTACAAACAGCATTGGGAGGGGGGCGCGTCTTCCTACGACGTTACAGGAAGTAGCGCCGGTGGTCAATACGCGCGCTGAGAGCTGGCACTCTGGATTGAGCTCAGCCGTGAGCAATCCTGGGCGCACGTTCGCACTGAAGGCAATCAGGGGCGACTACTTGCGCAAATGTGGCACATTCAATGAATCCGACTTGCATTGTGCCATCGAGGCTTTTCCAGTCGTCCATTATGAGCGAATTGCGGAGCAAACCGGCATGCACGATCGTCGCAACTACAAGCGGCAGGCAGAGATCGAACAAGATGCCGCGAGATCTGTTCCAGCGCTGGCTCGCAAGAGCGGGTTGAGCGAATGGCGCGCGGGCACCAGGATCGCCGCGGCGTCGTTTGCTGGCGCGTTTCACAGCCCTGCGTCGCCGGCCCAAGCTCAAAAAAGCAAAAGGTGCATCGCGCTGCCCGGGCGAACGCTTCCGGGGCTCTTCAAGAGTGCGCTGCAGAACGCGAGTGTGGAGCTGCAAGATGGCGCGTTTTGGTGTACTGCGTCAGAGAACCAGCACTTCCCGTCGCCGCCCCTCGCCGGAGAAAGGGTTGCATCGCATAGGCCGGCGCCGGTCCCAGCATGCTTGCATGGCCCAGGTTGCAGCGCATAGGTTGCATCGCGCGCAGTGCACCACGTGGGTTGCACCTCGTAGAGTGCAAGAGCCGACTGTTTGGGGTCCACGCTGGCTAACATAGTTAGTGCGCTTGGCTGATCTGGGCCTCAGATCGCCCGCGAGGGCCCCGGGGTTCCTTTCGCTCCGCACGGTACGTTGCGCGTTGCGGAAATTGTGTTGGCTGATGTCTCAGGGGGGTTCTCTGGCCTGCCGTTGGCCCGCCCCGAAGTCGTGGCCTGATGATGCCACTCGAGCGCGCGCGCGCAGGAAAGATGAATCGAGCGCCCTGACCTCGGCGCTGACCTCGGGAGGCGGTCGGAGGCGGGCTCGCAGTCAACGCGACGAGCGAGCCACTGAGCACGTCGAGCGGCGAGAAAGCACGGTGTCTTACGAGGGCGTTTTTTGGGGGGGCGGCGGCGGCATCCTCTTCATGTTTCGCGAAGCAGGGAGGTCAGGCAGTAGGAAGTCTGATCAGTGGCATGATGGGTTGGTTTCGAGCAGTATCATATTCTCGTCACGTGCTGGGGGCATCGTGACAGGTCAAGACCAGGGGCCGATGCCTCACGACGCTGGTTGCAGTGCGAGCGCACGATCCAGATCCGGCACAGAAGCTTCCGCATGGGACCTTCGCGGCTTCAGCAGTGGCGCGATCACCCAGAGATGAGGCCGGCAGTGCGACGGGCTTGGAAACGCATCTTGGTTCAGCGACGGTCGCCAGCGCAACGGTTTGGATATGGTCGCCCACCTGTACCTGCGTTTATCACGTAAATGCCTTCTTTTGGTTGTACACCGGTGAATCCAGCAGAATAGGCGTTGCCTCCTTTTGCTGATCATGCCTGGCGTTTTCCCGAAGAGAGGCCCTCAGGCATACAGACGTCGGATGTGGGCGTGATTGACGATTTCCCACCGGGTGTTCCGGAAGCTGCCGCGCGGGTGGATTGGGCGGAGGTGCCCAGGCGCCATGTCGGCACGCGCCCGTCGGGCAAGTCGGGGGAGGCGTTGAGCAAATGTTCGAAGTGCTCGCGACGTCGAGAGCGATCCGAGCATTCACTGCGCCGACCACGGGCGCGCGCGTGTCATCGAGGGTCTGTTCTATATCGGAGTGTAATTTACGCGCGCATGCATGCGCGCATGCATGTAAGAGGCGATCGACTCCTTGCTACCAGCCGCGGGTGCCCAATGTTAGCAGCACGAATGCTGTCTGCTGTCGGTTCAGAGGGTTGATGCCAGGTGCTCGGACGAGAACCCCTGGCCCGTTGTCTCGCGATGTCTGGCGGAGTTCAGGTTTGGGCGGTGCGGGCCCAGGCTGTCGATCCGCACGGTGTTCAGAGCATCCCGCCATTATTTGATGCGACGCATCGGGAGTGGCTGATTCGTCCGACACTCGCTTGAGGCGAGTAGCCTTGGGCGTCGCCACTCTTGCATCGCGTGAGCCAGCGCGCGCGCGCACAAGCCGCAGGTGGGCTCGCAGGACAGAAGGAATCGGTACCACCAGGAGAGTTAAGAGCGTTCTGATGAGCATCGCGTGCCCCGCTCGGGGCCGATTAAGTACATCACGGATTGCGAAAACGTCGGGTGGAGATGGTCACAGCGCAAGTAGAATGAGCCATGGGGAGGGCGCCCACATTCGGTGCGACATCGAGGTTGAGCTTGTTGTCTGGAGAAGGCATTGTTGAAGGACGTGCCGCTTCTGCGGTAAGTGGTCGGCAATGCCATCGTAGGCGACATTGCGAGCGCCGTGGCATAGAGTGAGGATGACAGGTGCCGATCGGCACTGCGTCTTGGACACGGGGAGGCAGGCCTTCCTCGCGAGGCACGGGCTCGTCCGCGCGGCAGCGGACGCCACGATCGGCGACTTCGAGAATGGGGGGTTGAGGAAGGAGAGCGGCGCATCCCCCTTTTTCCCCCTTCCCCGCTTCCAACTCGCGGTGCAGTTTCATGAGTTCGGACCGGCCGCGTGCTCCAAGACTCCGGCAGGATGTGCGAGTGTTGTTTTGGGCCAGCCTCCAATGCCAAGCGCGGGCTCTAAAACGTTGCAGTTGGGGGTGTCGCCGTTCTGGACATCGCCTTCAGAGGATCTCTTCACGGTGCCACGCAGCGTGCAAAGGGCATGCTGCAAGGGAGCGGGGGCGCATGCAGGCGCGGACGCCGTCGCTGGGACATTCGGTGGAGCGCCCGCTGGGGCCGCGAATCGTTGGGCTCGGTGGGGGGCACGCGTGCGAACATCGCTACTGGGCACTTCGGTGGGGCTCCCCGTGGAGCCGCGGGGCGCTGTGCTCGGTCGGGGAAACGCATGCGAACGCCGCCACTGAGGGGCCCCAGGGCCACGAAACGCTGTACTGAGCGGGGGGAACGCATGCGAACACCGCAAGTGGGGCCTTCGATGGGGCTCCCGATGGGGCCTCGAAGCGCTGCATTCGGTTGGGAAACGCATGCGAACTCCGCCAGTGGGACCTTTGGCGCGGCTCCATATGGGGCCACGAAGCACTGTGCTGGGGGAGGGGGGGCGCATGCGATCACTGCCAGTAGGGCCTTCGGCTGAACTCCCCATGGGGCCACGAAGCTTTGTTCTGGGCTGGGGGGGCGCATGCGACCACCGCCATTGGGATTTGGGGTGGAACCATGCCACTAGGCCCTGTGGTGGAGCTCCCTATGGGGCCACGAGCCGCGTGAGGGGCGCGCTAAACTCATGGGGCTGGCGGCATGCGGGCGCAGCCAGTGGGGCCTTCGGTGGAGTTCCCTATGGGGCCACGAAGCGTGCGAGGGGTGTGCCAAAATCAGGGGTGGTGCCACGCGAACACTCCCACCGGGGCCTTAGGTGGAGTTCTTTATGGGGCCACGAGGCGTGTGAGGGTTGTGCAGAGACGGGGCGGTTGTGCCATGCGAGCTCCCCCAGTGGGGCTTGCAGTGGGATTCCCGATGGGGCCACGAAGCGGGCGAAGGGGTGTGCCAACATGGGGCGGTGGTGCCATGCGAATCTCCCTGCTGAGGCCTTAGGCGGGTTTCCTTACGGGGCCACGAAGCGTCTGAGGGGTGTGCCGAGATGGGGCGGCGGTGCCACGCGAGCCCTCCCAATGGCGCTTCCGGTGGAGTTCCCGAAGGGGCCACGAAGTGTGTGAGGGGCGTGCCGAAACACAAACATGCGGAGGGCAGGGGCTGGGAGGGAGAGGAGGGAGGAGGGGGACGAGGAGAGAAGGAGTGATGCGCGGCCGTGTCTCTGCAAAGCGAGGATCCAAGACCACACGAGGGTTGGACAAGACCCCGTCTTTACCCTTCAACGCGAGCGTGGTTTTCATTGCGTTCCACGGGATAGCCAACTTCACGTGTTCGGGGACTTGGTGCACGGCTCAAACTTAGTGAGTGAAAGCACGAAGTTCGCAGTGCCGACAAGAAATGGTTATTTAACCCAGATCCAGCTAGTAGTTAGGCTTGCGCCCGAAAGTTTCCGGCAACGGTGAGAAGGCGAAACGGTCAGGTCCTGACAGTTGTGTTTTTTCCTCGGTCTAAGATTCCATTCTCTTTTACTCAGTGATGGGACATTCTCATTTACATTATCCTCCTTCCTCGCATCTCCAATCCCTTCGCGGCCCCAAGAAGTATTCAAAAGCGCCCAACGGGAGCCGCGCGACGGCGAGCTACTCCCTCCTCGCTCATCCCTCTTCGCTCCTCCCTGCTCACTCCTTGCTCGTTCCTCCCATGTCGCTGTTCGGGCCTCGGGACCGACGTCAACGTTGACCACTTTTGGCGGCGTTTTTTCGCCATCACAAAACAACACATGCATCTTCGGATAGATTTCGCGGACGCTGGTCCACGGGTCAGTTACAACGCTGGGATCAGCGCGTGCGAGAAGGGCGAGCAGTGGCAGCCGGCGCTGGCGCTTCTCCGGGATATGCGGAGGGCGGGTATGGAGCCCGACGCCATCAGCCGCAACGCGGTGCTTCTAGCCGCAGAGAGGGGCGAGGCGGGCATCCGCACGAGGCGGCTGCTCCGGGTCCCGCCAGCGGGCGCAGAGCTCGCCTGCGCCACGAGCACCCCGCGCGGCACCTCGCGGCGGGACTTCAGCGGCGCCGGCGGGCTGCATTTCTGCATCTTTCAGGGCGGCGAGCAGGGCGTCGAGGGCTGGGCCCTAGACCGCGGCAGCGTGCTGAGCCGCTGGGACGCGCTGCTGGACGGGCTGCTGCAGTGCGTCGTGATGGACGGCGAGTGGCCCCGCGAAGTCCGCGCCTCTGCCTTCGTGGGGCGGGACAGCGTCCACCTCGGCGGCGAGGTGCAGGATCGAATGAAGAAACACGCTGACCATAACCACGATGTCGCCCCAGAGCCTGTCGACGTCGATCTTGGTCATGGTCCACGTCGGCCGTCGCCGGTTCGCGAAGATGACCCACGGATCGACACTGCCCAGGATGGGCAATGACCAAGAAGATCGAGACGACGTTTCCGCGCGCATTCTTGGTCATGGTCCAATTCTTGCTTCTCCCCCCACAGGAGTGGGCGATGCCCGTGGCCGGACCGCGCGACAGCGAGGCTGCCGGCCTCCAGCCCGACACTTTCCAGTCTTGGGAGGACGCGCTCTGGTGGTCGCGGGGCGCGGCGGACCTCCCTGGCCTCCGGTGGCGCCTGGCCACGGCGGCGCAGGGGTCGCCGCAGGTGCTCCGAGAGCAGCAGCTCGCGAGCCTGAGGGAGGAGCTTGCGCGCCTCCCAGAGGCCGCGGCGGTGCTCGCCTTCACGCCCGCGCGGCCAGACGTGTCCTACGACCGGCTCGTGGAGCTGGGCGAAGGACGCACCGTAAGGTCTCGATGGTCCTCGGGACGTGTGTTAGCTCAATGAGTGTGTGTGTGTGAATGTGTGTGAATGTGTGTGAATGTGTGTGAATGTATGTGAATGTATGTGAATGTGTGTGTGTGTGTGTGTGTGCGCGTTTCCCCGTTTAGCTCCACCGAAAGGGTGCAGCCTGCGTCGGCCCTCATTCTTTAGTCGCTTCGCTCATTCCGGCGGCCCATATTGTCGCATAAGCGGACGATGAGGAGAAGGAGGAGCCTCGTCGATTGTTAATTCGGGAACTCTTCAGACGAAATTTGGGTCGTCGACAAGACGGGTCTCTGGGAGACGTCGTGGGGTTTCTTGGGAGGCCTCTCGGAGCCTCTTGGGGGCTTCTTGGGCTAGTGTTTTGGGGCTTCTGGGGGCTTCTTGGGGCCTTGTGGTATCGCGAGGGATCTCGCGGGAAACGGTTGGACATGACAGCTCGGAGTACCGCTCTTGGGGTCTTCTGGGAGCCTCTGGAGCCGTCTTCAGGTGCCTTTCTTTCAGCGCTCTCGGGCCGTCTTGGACTCATCTCGGGGGCACCATGAGCCGTGTCGGGGCGATTTTCAGGGCCTCCTGGACAATTTTGAACGTTGTGAAACCGCACGTTTTCCGAAGGGAATACGAATTGTGTTTGTTGGGGCTCTCTTAGAGGGCATATTGAGGCTACCTCGGGGCTTCTTGGCGGCCTCTAGGGTTGTCTGCAGGCCATCTTGAGCGTCTTGGAAGGATCTTTCCACGCGCGCGCGAACGAGACATTGTAAACGTGTAGCCGGAGATCTTAGCATGCCCCCTAGCCCGCTGGGCTGGCGAATCCTGCCTGCGTCGGATCGAAAGGCTTCGGTGGACAAGCACACGTTGGCGGTGACATACGTTCTGAGGATCATTGCTGCGGGTTGCGCACAGGCAGCCCCCCAGGCAGTCCTGGCTGGCCTCAGCAGCCCCCCCGCGTAAGTCCGAGGCGGTCTCCAGACCTCAATCCTGGGGCGCGGAGCGCCCCAGGGGCGCCGCCAGAGGCGGCCCCGGGCTACTCTCTGAGGAGAGCTGACCAGACCAGCCGGGGTACCTGGGGGGGGGTTGTCTGTGCGCAATCCGAAGCCTTACCGAGGACGCAGCCCTCGCTCTGGCAGGGTGTACGTCTTGATGGGAGGCGCGCACGGATTCGACGGCAGCGACGACCGCGACGGCTCTTTCGCGGCCGAGGTCCTGGCGGCCTTCTCGACGCGCTTCGGCGACGGCCGCGTCGTCCGCGTGAGCCTGGGGGCAGAGGGGCCCTCCCCAGGTGGGCCCGAGCCCAAGTTCACGCTGGCGAGTGTTGCTAGCTTCGTGAGCGCCGAGCACACGCGCGGGGCGCTGCGGCAGGCAGTTGCTGGTGTCGAGGCGCACGGCCATGCAGTGCGTGCGCGTGGGGCCAGGCCTGCCGGGCCTGGCGCGGGCTGGCGCGCCTCCCTTCCCCTGTCCCCCCCCCTTCCCTCCCCTAACTCCCCTCCCCCACGCCCCCTCCTGCCGCCTCATCTGTCATCCTTCGCTCGTCGTGGTGTCGTGCCACTGGGCTTCGTCTGCGCTTGTCAAGAGTAGCGCGTGGGGCCACTTCGCCCACGCGCAGATCAACAGCGCCCCTGGCCGCATGGGGGCAAGCGGCCACGCCGCGTCCTGTGCGAGGGGCCTCAGGGGCATACGCCAGGAGCACGGGTGAGCACTGGCCGCCCCGGGCTTCTCGGAGGCCCGGGGGGGGTGACCGAGGGACGAGGCAGGGGACGAGGAGGACGTGGAGCAATCGACTACACATAAGAGTGACCCTTCGCCAGAGTCACCTTTGGGGCGGGCCCGGTGGGCCCCCCCGATCGCCGAATGCGATGCGACAGCAGCGGCTTGCACGCTTGAGATCGGCCCCCGACATTGGCCCCCTCGCGCCCACCAAAAGCCGCGCACCATGGGTCACTCTTACCACGGGTCACTCTTGCGTGTCGCCGGGGCAAGAGCGAGCAGCGGCGGCGGGCTCTGGCGACGCCGAATGGGATGCGAGAGGCGATGCGGGAGCCTGATGTCACCCACGCTATACTTCGAGCAGGAGTTCTGCTGCAGAAGCGAGTTGCCGCAGAATGGTTTTCTCTTCGAATCGACGAAACTGCTCGTCACAGTTGTAGGTGTACGACCATTCCACGCTTCTTTGGTAGATCCAACAGACGACAAGTCTGGGGCAAACCAGTGCTGCAGTTCATCTCCTATCAGACAGTCGCAAACATGGATCAATGGGGCGTGGATTAGCGACGGGTCCCGCTTCCATGGGAAATCGCGGATTTCCGCCGCCGAGCGAGGCTGCACCGGCCGCAAGTTGGAGAGGGCCCCTCCCCCGATCCATGGATTTGGCGACCGCGCGCCAAATCCATGGATCGACAATCAATGTTTGCGCGCCCCCGAAGGAGGAGGAGGAGGAGGAGGAGGAGGAGGAGGTGGAGGAGGAGGAGGAGGAGGAGGAGGAGGAGGAGGAGGAGGAGGAGGAGGAGGAGGAGGAGGAGGAGACGAGAGACGAGGAGACGAGGAGACGAGGAGGAGGAGGAGGAGGAAGAGGAGGAGGAGGAAACGAGGAGGAAACGAGGAGAGGAGGAGCCGAGGAGGAAACGAGGAGGAGACGAGGAGGAAACGAGGAGGAGACGAGGGGGAGGACGAGGAGGAGACGAGGAGGAGGCGGAGGAGGAGGAGGAAGAGGAGGAGGGGAAGGAGGAGACGAGGAGGAGGAGGAGGCGGAGAAAGAGGAGGGTGAGGAGGCGAGGATGATGATAATGATGATGATGATGATGATGATGATGATGATGATGATGATGATGATGATGATGATGATGATGATGATGACGACGACGACGACGACGACGA